AAAAAAAAAAAGAAAATGGCATTTGTTTGACGAAACATAACATGCGTTCTTTTTGCACCATTATACAAAATTAAATGTTTAAAAGTTAAAAAAGAGATGACAAGATGTGTTACCTGGTATAAACGGTGTCTCGGGGACTAAGTGGTACGTTCCGTCAACAGTTTGAATATCAGCATAATTTATACCGGCACATTCAACATTAACAACAATTTCTCCATCACCAGCTGTACAGTCTTTATTTTCCACAATCTGCAGTGGTTCACCAAAATTCTTTACAACAGCACTGCGATAGTAACGTTGAAACTGTCGTAAAATGGGTATCATGCGTGTAGTGTATTGTGATAGCTTAGTCATTTTGCAGTAATCCAAATGATGCTAAAATCAGTGGAATAAATCAACGCCTCTACACTCCCTATCCGTGTACAGTTATCATCAAATGAACAACATCAATGACAATCAGAAACCGGGATCATCAGCAGACTGCTGCAAAGTTTTTGCCATTTTTGTAATTCGTCAGCTGTAGTCTGAACATGTGTACGAACTCTGTTTTAACAATTTGGCTAAATGCCCTGTCAGTGGAATTTCGTCAGTTTACAATAAGCGCAAAATACCTTAACTGGTATTATGTTCATACTTTATATTTACGTACTGTAGATGTGTGCGTGATTGTGTGCTTTACGCCGTTTCTGCTTTAGTGTCTATTTTTTGCACTGCATAGGACGGCAGAAACTCTATTTACTCCGACTTCTATTTGAAGCAGTCACACTGTGGCACCAATTTGTTGCCAACAAGTATTGTTACATATGAAAGAAACTGTTGCTTATTCGCTAGAAACCTCTCTGAACTCGGCGGAAACTAAGGTTTGCTTGATTTTTTTTCATTTCTCCAAGTCTTTAGCTTGGCGTATATTTATTTGAGATATTCTTTTTCAACACTGGGTAATGCTCAAAAAAAAAAGAAATTCCCGCTTTGAAACACGAACATATGGTGTTAGTTTTGTTAAAATTTCGATTTACTTATTTGTCACATAATTGTCACATATGAAAAAATATTTTTTTTCCATTTTTGGATTAGCTGCTTAAATTGCATTACAATATTTGTGGTCATTTGGGTGAGTATAATTGGTACGTTTGAGTTACCTTTGGTACGATGACTTTCATTGTGTAAAATCCTCTCTTGTTAGGGTTAAATAACGAGGAGAATCGCGGTATTTTTTTTAGTACAATGAATGGTTTCCTGTAAAGGCCGCAGATAAGCGAGCAAAGAATTAAAGTGAAGAGATATTAAGTTACTCTTTCTGTTATGTTGCTACAATTACGGAGTTATTAGCATATTAGTTTGATCTTTAAAACTGCAAATGAGCTAAAAGAAATTCTTTATTTAATTTAAGGACTTAAATAAAGGTGGTGTGGGAATTTCGTTCAAAGATAGCTAAGAGGAATGTTGGCACGTCACCAGCACCGTTTAGTTTAATAGGACATGTGGGAAAATGCTCTGATATACTGATATAAATTGGGTTTGTAAGAAATGACAATTTTCTTATTATGTTTGTTAAGATGTTCACTGGTTATTTTAACTATTGATTAAGTGCTACATTGAGTGTCATGGTTCTTAACGTAACAAATGTGTTAACGTAATAAGTTAACAAATATTGCAGTCGACGGAAATGAAGAAATTAGTGCCATAAATTTGCAGGAGATAAACTGTTTTAGAAGCCTCATTACTAGGGGCTATCAAAGTAACGAATAGTATTCGAAAAAAGTTTGACTTTATGGACATAATGTTATGGAAGAGAAGTAGAGAGAAGGAAGCTAGTGTTTTGAACTCGGATGCGAGTTAAAATATAGTGAGAATGTAGTGTTTGACGATAAATTGAGCCTTGTAATGGAAATCCTTCAAAAGACTTTCTTTAGATTTGCTAATGTGCAAGAAATACCACTGAATTTACTCACTGAGGGATAGATTTTCGATGATTATAAGACTTGTTTTAAAAAGTTGAGCCATACAAAGTGGTACTCGGTTAAAAAATTTATTTGATTGCTGAATCTCTTTAGACCTCAAAAGTTAGCGGACTTCAGTGGCTTTATTTGCAATATATTCTTGTAACTGGTCTGTATATGGTTGAACCGTGGGAGAGGGCAATATTCAACTGTTTCTTCATTGGATTTATTGGGATTCTTTTTTACATTGTCTGCTCGTCATTATTTGTTTTTTGAAAAGTCATCTGCCACGTTGCTATGGCCGAAGCGGTGAGTTAAAGATTTTCAACAGAAAAGTTTGTGTGCTGATATAGTTTTTCCAGTGACTTTTCAAAACATGTTTTTCTTGCGACCACGCTGCTATCATAAATTTCTGACTCTTTTTCTTTGCTGACCCAGCCTGCATAAAGTCAGTTTCATTTTTGTTATTTTGTTTCAGGCTGGAGGTAAAGTTAAAATACTTCTGAAAGCAGTCGGTGGAGCACCCATTATGAAGCAGAAGTGTTTTTCTGTTAATGAGTCTACCACTGTTGCGGAGTTGACAGCAAACATAAGAAAAATTTTAAAGGTATTTCCACTAGGTTTTCATCGTACTATTTTACCCTGAATACTCGTTGATTTTGATTAGGCGTGAAGGGAGCAACGTCAAAAAGAAGCGTAAGTACCAAAGCTTCTGAAATATATTTGAGAGGCTGCTTGTTTCTGAAAGTTGTTAATTGTCAATTAACTGCTGTTGCAGTTAAAGGAGAGAATTTTGGAAATATTTCGCAAGGTTATAGTTTAATATTCCTTCACTTTTTAAGGTTATAGTGGGATGGTTTTGAAATTTGGAGATTTTGCGTCTTATATGCTTTCTGCTATCTTTAGGACGACTGTTTTTTGTGTCATAGTTGTAAATATTGTTTTTTTTATATTTTAGTTAGGATCGAATGACAGCCTCTTTCTGTATGTAAATCAGTGTTTTGCCCCATCGCCAGACCAGACGCTTTTGAACTTACGCAACTGCTTTGCTGCAGGTATATCGGAACTGGTGCTACACTACAGTTTAACAAGTGCGTGGGGCTAATTTGTGCTACTTGGATAGTTGTGTACTTTCGATTCCCTACTTCGTATGAGTTGTTACCTAAGGTATAATAGGTTTTCTCTTGTTTTTTTTTAGGTTCATAGTGATGTGTCTTATCTGTGCTTCAGCTCTTTTGATCATAGCTAAAGGCTAGTTGAAATTTTAAAATTCGGCAGGTTTTTCAGCCTGCCTTCTCAAAAACTTCATTATCTTTGTTTTATCATTTTGTTTTGAGTCTGATTTTAAACTGTTGTATATATTATATCAAGCACTATATCAGTTTTTTTATTAGGGAACTTTCTGATAAGAGGTAGATGTAGCTGTTAATCGTGTCAGCTCTTCCTTAACTTTCTCATCTTTTTTTTAGTTTTTATGCACTTCTAGCTGTTCTCATTCATATGATTATCGTTTTATTTGTGTGCTTACTGAGAATTTGAGAATTGATTTTTGTTCGTAAAAAAGTGTCCCGACTACTGTTTATTGGTGTTTAGATGTTAAAGGCACATGACAATGTCATGTATGGAGTGTTCATTCTAAACATGTGTGATTTTGTGACTTATCATTCTTTTTTCTGGTCAGATTGCTGGCTTTCCATTTCCTAATACTGCACGGATAAGCCTATTAAATTTTTACCTTGGGTTTTCTAATAGCGCGTTTTAGAGGTCATACAAAAGACGGCTAGGATTTAATGATTACTAACAATTAATGCTGGTGCTAAAGTTGAGTTTTGACGTAGAGTAGATTTTTGCTGCAATTATTTGTGCGTGACGGATGCGTAAGAGTGAGTCTTATCAGGCTTCTCTTTAGATCTTTCATTCGTCGCCAGTTGGAGTTTATTGATTTATAGCTGAATGTCAGACAAGGTGTATTTTGCATGATGATGCGTACTTAGCTGTAAGTGGTTAATGGTTCTGTATAACAAAGGTTTCTTCACTCGATCAGTAGTTATTCGTTGAGGAACACATTGTAAATCCTAGGCACTGATCTGTTATAATTCAATTGCCGGTGTAAATAAGTAGTGTAATGGACAACAATGAGCTAGTTACTGGTTTTTTTTGAACTGTGTTTTTCAAATTTATTTCTTTATCGCGTATAAATATGCGCTTTTTTCTCCCTTTTGATGAGCCGTAAATAGGGCAGTTGTTGATTACTTGAGATTGGGTTTGCAAGCGGGCAGTGTTGGAACTAAATGTATGCTTTCTCACTTTCCGTTTCAAGTGTCATTTTAATGTTATGTTGAAGCATTAATGCTGTCGTCTATGGCTTTTTGTTCATTGATAGACGACAGTGAGAAGCGTATGCTTATTATTATGCAGGTGTTGTAGAAGCAGTTATGCAGGCGGAAACTGTAGAATTTGTAGTTCTATGATCAGTATCCATCTAGGCTTTGATCCTCGACTGTGTAACTTTTTCCCGTACCTTTTCTATTTATGAGTCAAATAGAACAGTTTAATTGAATGAAGCAATTTTTAACGTTGTTGAGGCCAAAAGATTTCTCGTAAATTCTGTTTTTTTTTTTCTACAATTCGCTAACAATATTTCCTTTTCCCCAAGGTTCAGTGACGGCAGAAGAATTTACCGCAAAAAAAGAAGGATGAGGGAGAAGAGAAGGGAAAGAAAAAATGAGGTAAAAAGGGGGAGGAAGGAAGGAAAGGAAGAAGATGAGCGGAAAAATACCGAGGGAGCAAATTTCGGCGAGAGAGAAATGAAACGATTATTTTCAGTCGCAAAAAGGTTTTGCAGCAACAAATAGAAAAACTTTTGCCGCTGAAAAGTTACTGTTTTTTTCTTATTTGCCTTGTTTTATCTTTTGTCTATTTTGTTTTGGATTTCTGATCGGAGGCATAAAAGGTCAGTTTTTTTCTGAAACTGAAATACTGATATATGGCAACTCTATTGAATCAAATTAAAATTATTATTTTTCATAAACATATCTTTTTTCCCTGTTTCCATTATCTGTTGACAGTTGCTTTAAATAACAAACGGCTACCACCACCTGTATTGTTGTTGATGAAACAGAGTAAATGACTACAAAGTAACAAACTGAACAGCAGGTAACTTTTACCGATACTGCCGTGTTTCGCTGTCTAAAGTTTAAATAAATTTTACCGATGCTCAGATGTTGTAAACTCAGTTTTAAAATTATTTTATTAACAGACAGTATTACATTGGCGACGCAAATTGTATACTGGGTTACAGTGGCGGTTTCATTAGCGCAGTGTTTAAGTGGTTTCATGACAAGATCTGGCGATGAGCCTGGTGTGGAGTAGAAAGGTTGCACTATACAGATGATACTCGACCATTAGCATTTGCGACAGGTTTACTAGAAAGCCCATTAGTTGAAATTATGACTGAACTCATTAACACGATAGCACTTGGGAAAAGCAAAACAAAAAAAAAGGAAAGACTGGTGTGAGTGGCAAAAATCTTATTAAGATGCTGTAGAGCAAAAATTGAAGGGCAAAAAGATATAAAGTAGAAAATGAAAACTAAAACCAGAGATATTGAAAGAAAAAAAAAAGAGCACCCATGCAGGGAAATTTGTGGAGACGGCTTCTTTATTCTGAATCACAGATTTGACATTTTTACAAAACAGTTTCTATTACCCGCCTGTTCAACCTCATCAGTAAATTGCTTTTCTCTCATTCATCTATGTTCCACATCAACAGCAATAGTCTCTTTGGTTCGTCACTGTAATCAAAGTTTGCTCTAATGTATCCATTAATTTCCCAAAAAAATCCTTGTTTTGCGTTGGATAATTTGTTTTCAGAAAAAATTGATACTACCATCAAAAAATCATTCAAAATATTTTCTGTTGCTCAGCTCTGAGTGTTTCGGTTACGTACGAGCGTTGCAGAATGTGGTGTTTGCTTAGTTGTATGTATTTTTGAAGCTGTTGAGAGTGATTCTGTATGATTTGTGTCTCTTATATGAAAATAAATGTTATCTTCCCAGCTGGTTTTTAGTCTACTTTTCAAAGCCTTTTGCTTTTTTTTCTTTTTCGTATACTTTGAGCTTAAGAATCGCTTAGGAGTGAAATTTACTGGACTGCTAAATCAGCTGGGAAGAGCAGTAAGGTAGATCAGACTTGTTTACCGGTTCCGCTGGAAAGGTGAAAATAATCTTTTGGCAAATCTATATTCTTAACGACGTGCCTTGGAGATTTTTGCTTTCTGAATCTGCTGTTAGTGTAGTCAGTACGTTATGCATTCTTTAGACAAATTTTTTCGCACACTCATTTTAAACAATGCTAATGTTTCAATAAGTGAGGGAAGTGGCATAAGGCATTTCGCGTCCGAAGGGTATTCAAACCGAAGTTGGCGTTCGTCCACAATAGGGCGAGTGAGGACAGAGGACAGTGAGCAGCTTCCGGGTCCAAAAGATAATTAAAGAATATGGAGAGAACGGCATTCGACAGAAATGGAAAAATAAGTCGAAATTCAGGGATGAAGAATCTGCATGTTACGTACGGTAACAACGATTGATGGTACAAATTTATAACTTCGTTTTTGCCAAATTTAAAACCAAAATTGGGAATACGGCCCAATATTTCTTTCAACTTATAAACAAATAAATACAAATACAAATTTAAATATAGAAATAAATATAAATATGAATAAATAAGTGAATAAATAGATAAGTAAATATATATATTTGGACAATTTTTTTGCCTATTTCGTTTAATTAAACCCGATATTTTTATATAAATAATCATTTGATAATTTAACCGTTTATTATTTATCTTTCTACTTGTTTAATTATTTGCTCACCCATTCCTTCATTTATTCATTAGTTTTACTTCATTTCAATTACGTATTTTTGTTTATTTATTTATTTATTTTTTTTCTTTGGTGAGATAAAGAAAGAGGTTTTTGCATAACTGAGGTTCTGTATGGCACGGCTGCTGCGTGTAACGCATACGCATTTACAGAAATATAGCAGTAACCAAAAAAAAAAAAAATTTGCGACGTCATCTGATGACTCAGAAGTATAGCATTGAAAAAGGTTTAAAAAAAATTTTGGGAACAGCGAGTTGAACATATGAAATCATTAGATTTGTTTTGAGCGGCGATTTAACTGGCGAAAGTCAGAAATTTGAGGTATCGTTGAGAAAGAGGCCGACAGCAGATTTGCTGGACGTAGGTTTTAAAGTAAAAAAGTGTTGGGATGATGAAGAAAAGCGAAGTTACAACCGCAACAATTTGTAGTCTGGTAAAGTTTTCTGAAGGTTTTTGCTGTATGAAGTTTGGTACGTGGGATTTATTTTTGAATTTTTCTGTCAAGCACTATTCATTGCCATCCTCAAAAATTTCTTCAGCAAATTTGCCAGTAGATACTACTTTGAGCTACGGACCACAAGAAACGTCGAGTTTTGAGGAGGCAAAAATGACAAAGCAGTCGGTTGTTTTCCACGTACAGTGACGGATAAACATTCTTGTATGTTCGGTGTGAATCCGTGATGTAGTGTTAGTCACTTCTGTTCATTCCCATTTTTCCACATTAGTTCATCTTTTGAAGTGCTTTGAGGATGACGTAGCAGTAACTGAGTGACGGTAGGGATGTGAAAAGTTTGGTATAATGTCATGCTTCAACATACAACCTTTGATTTCTTAGATTTTCCCCAACTGAGTGGTTATACCAGTTCAACGTTTTGTACTTTAATAATATGAAATATTTCGTAAGAGTTGTGAATACCTTGGAATTTTTATTCGCTTTATAATTTTAGAAAATGTAAACTTGTTTTTGAATCTGCAAAATGCGG